TTTCAACAGTTTTCCAAAATGTTATAATAAAGTATGTTTTCGTTAAGTACTTTTTGAGTTATTAGGTCTGAAATTTACGGTACTTTTAATTCCATGAATGGTGTGTGTGTGTGTGTGCGTGCGTGCGTGCGTGCGTGCGTGCGTGCGTGCGTGCGTGCGTGCGTGTGTGTGTGTGTACCAAAGAACGAACGTGTGTAGAAGGAACGAACCCGTGGAACGAACCGTCTGCTTTGACGAAACAATTGAAAATCGGTTGAAGATCGACATTCATTTGTTCGTAGCATGTTTGGTCTCAGCTCACTTCGGTACCGCATCTCGTGGAACACGTTAGTTGCCAAGATGGTTTTCACAAATAGTGAAATGTACGACATGATCATAATATTCCGGAAGTGCAATGAACAACCGCGAGTAGCTGCGAGAGTTTATGCTCGTACGTACCTAGAACGCAGAAAGCCATATCATGTAGATTTTACGAGACTGGCATCGCGTTTGTGAACACACGGACAATTCAGACCTATTAAGCGTGCAGGTACATATTTTATAAGATTTTTGGTAATACAATTTTAAATATTTTGTCTTTTTATCATTACATTAAGTGCTTTTTCATACAGGGCGAACTCCACTTATACATACTATGCCAATGGTACAAATGGTTACTGACGATCCAAACGTCAGTACACGGACCATCGCACGGCATGTAGGAGTTTCCCAGGCAACGGTATGTAGGGCTTTAAAAGCAGCTCACTTCCATCCTTACAAAGTTACCCTGACTCAAGAGCTGCATAATAATGATGAAGCTCGCAGAATGAGATATTGTCAGTGGCTCCTTAATGTAAGTGAAGAAAATTTTTATTTTACGAAGTACATTCTGTTTTCGGACGAATGTACTTTCTCTAATAATAGCACCGTCAACCGCCATAACTTACATTACTGGGCCATCGAGAATCCTCACTGGATGCGGCAAGCAAACAGTCAAGTCAGGTGGTCGGTGAACGTTTGGGCGGGCATTCTCGGGGACCACATCATTGGGCCATACTTTATTGATGGTAAGGTCAATGGCGAAGGGTACCGAAAATTTCTTCGAGACAAGCTTGTCGACTTGTTGGATGAGGTGCCACTGGAATCACGTGTTAACATGTGGTTCCAGCAGGATGGCCATCCTGCACACACCGCCAAGGCGAAAATAAATTTGTTAAATGAGAAGTTCGGTAGCCATTGGATCGGTCTTCGCGGTTCCCACGAATGGCCACCGCGTTCACCAGATCTCACACCACTTGACTTTTTTCTGTGGGGTCATCTAAAAGAGCAAGTATACGCAACGCGACCTGTTAGCGTTCAAGATCTCAAGAATAGAATTGTACGAGCTTGCCGTACAATAAGTCCAGAGATCTTGCGCCGAGTACGTAGCGCAATCTTAGACAGGGCTATACTTTGCGAGAGGATGGAAGGGAGCCATTTTGAGCACCTCAAGTAAAAACATGATAAGTTGTTGTCATATTACGCACGGTCACATGTCGATGAAATTTTTTCATCTCTGTGTGCTGTTACGTAATATGACTCCAACTTATCTGTTTGAGCTTTACAAAAAAGGTCATTATAACCCTGGCGAAAATAAAAAATTTATGATCTGACTTTCTTCGCTTTGGGTATCTACGAGCATTAACTCTCGCAGCTACTCGAAGTCATCGATTGTATTTCCATAAATTATTATTTTTGCCAGGAAAAATGTGGTACAATAGGGCTCCAGGCGAAGGTCCACTTTAAAAACCTAACGCGCCGTTAGTGGAACCTCAAGGGTGGTGTGGAAATCCACTATTAATTTTTTACATTTATACACGAATAAAAAGATTAGCTACTATATGAAGAGTTAACAGTTTTTTGCAGAGAGGGCTATTGATTTTGCAATAGTTGCAAAAGCTTTGTAATAGTAGTAAAACCTTTTGCCACTATTATAAAAGTAATAGCTCTCGCTGCAAAAATGTTAGCTGTTAGTATATGGTAGCTAATCTTTCTTTTCCGTGTAAGAAAACATTCTTTATTTTTGTTTACTTTTTATTGATTATTTTAACACCACACATTATTTTATAATTATATACTTTCTATGATACGCACGGAAAAAAAATAATTTTGCTGTTGCAGCAAAATTGTTGCTGCTACTTGAATACTGCATATGTATTTGATAAGAATGTGATGGCGATACGAAAATTTCCTTATTATACATTATTAAAATTATTCACCATTACAGCAGAACGTTTGACTGAACAGAAATTATTTTATTTCTTTAGCTAAATATTTCGCACAATTATTTTTTAATAAAATTAGTGTTCTTAACACAGAGTTGACCATAAAAGAGAAAATAACTTTATTATAAAATAACAGACAAAATTTACTTAAATTTACATATGGTATATTGTGCTAGCAAATTATTTTTCTCCGCGTGATGTCTGTGAGTGGAACAATTTTTCAACTTGCCTGCAACAGCCCTGAGATCTAAGCAGCTGCCCTCTCGTGCCGTTCAGTGAACTAAAGTTGCAGTCGGTCCACTCTCAATCCACTCTCATGGTAAAAAGCTGGAACAACAGCTAAGATTCACCCTGTATAATTGATTAATATTCGGTTGATTAGTTCTTGAGTTATAGATGTTTGAAATTTCACGGAATCCGTACATGAACACTTTTCATTATACTGGGTGTTTCAAAAGTGATGCTACAAAATGTAATGGTGAAATGTATACATTATAGCAAAAAGTCCTAATAAACATAGGTAGAGGCCCCTCTTTTTCATTATACAGGGTGTTTCAGAAGTGATGGTACACAATGCAATGAAGAAATGTACACACTTGTAGAAGCAAAAAGTTTCAATACACATAGGTAGAGGCATACCTCTTGAATATGGCGATGACCGGTAAAAGGTTTTTTTAATTTTAATTTTTTTTAGAAATGTCTGTGGTTGCTCTAACTATCGCAAATTTTCTTTAATAATGTTTTCCACAAATTTCAAATGTCTATAACTCAAA